AAGCTGTGCCACTTGAAGGCACGGAGGGACGGGTGTGTGTGGTTTATCATTGAATTTTCCTGTGTCCCAGAATTAGGCAATAGGCACTCACCTCTGCTGCTCCACTATAACTTTTAGCTCTCTCTTTTCATATGCTGGCCTTGAGACATGGTCTGAGGAATGGGGATAAAAAGCAGTGGAGATCTGGGGTCAGAGTTACCAGCCTTGAAGATAGTGGGATTTCAGGTTGGGTGTGGTCCAGTTGCTAATGAGTCTAAATCAGGCCTGAGCTGTAGTAGCCTCTAAAAAAGCAATAAACAGAGGGGTCTTAGAAGAAGCAAGAAGCCAACCTAGGTAGAGCTAGAGAGAAATCTTCAGAGAGCAGATAGGCCACACTGTTCAAACGCAGTGCCGGTCAGGAGACCTGAGGCAACCTGTTGCTGACAAGTGCTGTATTTCACAAGGCAGATACCTTGGAAGCATGCCATCCTGGGTGTATGCTTAAAGGACTCCCGATGCCCCTGTCATCTCTAAGACAGAGGGTGGTTTTTCCAAGTGTGTTATCTCTAGGTCTGAGGAGTGAGGGAAAGTTAAGAGAGACAGCTGTATCCTAATAAATGCATTTCTATTTTGAAGACCTGGATCTCCAGAGTGTTTAATTTGATCAGTCTGACACAGGTTAGGAAGGAAGTCTGAAAGCTTAACAAGTGCTGAGAGCTGTAAATTTTCATCGCTCTTAGCTGGGCTATTTATTACACTCATCCACTATATTGGAACAGGTTTCAGACAACAGAGCTGGGTGGAAATCCAGTTTGGAGCTCAGAGTTCCACATCCCCAAAATAGTTCATGAATGCAGCAGGTGTCAAAGGATCTAACACCAAGCATAAGAGATGATCAAAAAGGAAACAAATCCAGGCTCAGGGAACCTAGGCTCAAGAGATACTCAGAAATCCAGGCTGACAGCTGGCAGGCACTAAGAATGTGTATCAACAAAGAAAAGAATCTCTATCCATATGCGTGCAGAAGTGAGACACCAGGTGGGGAAGAGAAATGGCCAAAACAAAAGAGGCTACCATTGTGGATCAACTCTTTAGTTACCAAGGACCTCAGAATCAGTGAAAAGAGAGGAGTCAGTTGAATGAATCATGCAACCAAGTTTTAGGGGGCAGGGGTCTAGCTCAGTTGGTAGAGCACCTGCTAAGCACGTGCAGGGTACTTAGTTCGATTCCCAGTAACTCCATTTGAAAAATAAACAAAAAAAGCAACCAAAAAACAGATATGTTTCCTAAATAATATTGCAGACTAGATTATTTAAACCAGCATAGTCTAAAAGAAATCTAATGCAAACCATGCATATAGTGTAAAATTTTCTAGTAGCCACATTAAAAATGTAAGGAGAAACATGGAAAACTAATTTTAGTTAATATATTAACCAAATAATATATTTTCTTTAACCCAATAGATCCAAAATATATTTATATTAACATAATATATTTTCTTTAAACCAGTAGATCCAAAATATTATTATTTCAACATTTAGCCAATATAAGAATTATTATTGAGACATTCTATATTCTGTTTTTCATCCTAAATAACAAAATGTGATGTGTATACCCAACTTCAGATTAACCTAATTTCAAGTGTTTAATAGCCATATTGGACAGTGCAGATTTGGACCAACCTTCCCTTTGTAAATTACAAAAAAGGCTGGATAAAAATCTAAATGAAAACAAAAATCTAGAAAGTTAAGTTTATCACTGGATCAGATTTTACCTGAGACCGTTGCCAAAATGGCTAA